CAGCGGTTCAAGCTTCAACACTCCATTGTATAGCGCTGTAAGATCCCGCCACTAGACCACTGGGTCAAAAGGCTTCTAATAGCGGGTCAGTGCGCCATTGACCCCCCCCAGGCCAACATGCCTATACCCTTCCCTAGGGTCAATTAAGGATCACTAGCGTATACAGAATGAGGAATGGATGAACTAGGAAAGAGGTGGGTACAAGTAGGAAAACCTAGAATGTTGTACCCCATATAGTCTACCCCACAACATCCTACACGACTATAGCATAAAAGTTTGACACACCCCCCCATAGGCAAAGTGCGGGAGAACAAGAGGTCACAAGACCAGTCAAACAAAGCAAAGCAAGCTCAGGTGGATCACAATGTCACCACACAATCCGAGCACAAGAGCAGGCAAAAGGCCAGTTCACATGCAAGGTCATATATAAAGGTAAACAGGCAAGTGCAGGTATAGAAGATCACAGTACAAGCAAGGTCTAGAAGTGAGCAAGTGAGGCCAGTAGGCACAAGACCTAGCATCGTACAGAAGCGCTGATGATCACCAGGCGGAAGTGCCTTGGTAAAGATATCAGCACTGTTCGCCTCAGAGGCCACGTAAGCAAGGCGTAGCTGACCACGCTGCTGCAGCTCACGAGCAAGGAAGTAGCGAAGAGCAATGTGCTTCGTTCTGTGCTCGAGTCTGTGCTCCCAACACAAGGCCAGCATGACCTTGTTGTCTATGTACAGAACTGGGGAGAACGACAAAAGCTCTCCTAGGTCAGTCAGCAGGTAGGTGAGCCAGCGTAGCTCCTCTGCAACCATGGCCCCGCGTAGATCTCAGCCTCACAGCTGGAGCCGAGAACAGAAGACGAGCGGGTAGACCGCCACGAAACAGAGCCGGAGCCAAGGTTGAAGGTGTAACCCTGTGACGACCGCTGCGTACCTGGTCATCAACCCAAGAAGCGTCAACGTGACCGGTGCAGACCACTTGACGTGGCCCTCCAAGCACTAGCCCCATGCCCGACGTACTGCACAAGTAGCGCAAACCCTCTTCGCTGCAGCCATGTGCTCTGGTCGGTGTCTCCCAGGAGCAACATAGCGTGCCAATGCTAAGAGGTATGCAAGGTCAGGTCGTGTGCAGGTCTTCAGATACATGAGGCAGCCAACAAGCTCTGGGTACGGGCCACTCGGCTCTACGGACTCATCCGAAGGCAGAGGTGAGAGCGAGTGGCGAGTAGACAGAGGAGTGGCTTGAGGCGAGGAGTACGTGAAGTCGAAGCGCTGAAGGACCTGTTGCACCATGTGTGACTGAGTCAGGGTAATGGTGCGCTGTGCTCTCACCGGGTGATCTGCAAGCCAAGGGTAGCTGCGTAGTTCACCCAGGTCTGTGAACGTGTGTCTCTTCTGCAGCTCGGACTTCACGTGGGCTAGTCCAGCAGTGTCAGCAGTGGCAAAGAGGTGTCGTGCGCAAAAAGAGCGACCGGTCGGCAGTAGAAGGAGCAAACCCAAGAGCCGCAAGTGTATTCCTCAATGTGTCGTGCCACTCACGGGGCACCTGGCGGAGACCGTAGACTGGCCGCCGGAGGCTCCACTAGGTACCAGGAGGAAACGACCCAGTGAAGCCAGGTGGGCGGCGCGGCCAGATCTCCTCGTGCAAGCTGCCTTGCAGGAAAGCTGTGCTGAAGTTAAGAGAGTGAAGCTCGTAGTCGCGCTGAGCGGCTATGTGCAGCAGCACCCGAAGAGTGGTCATCTTCGGGATGGAGAGAAGGTCTGAAAGTAGTCAACTCCCTGCCGCTGACTGAAGCCTCGAGCCACGTAATGCGCCTTGAAGACAGGCGGAGAACCCGGCGGCCGCTTCACCCTAAAAAATCCACATGCCACTGACGATGTTCACCCTAGGTGGGGGAACCTCGTCGGCGTAGGTGCCTGTGGACTTCCAGGAAGCCATCTCTTGCGTCCATGGCTGACTGCCACTGTGAGGAGTAGGGACCCTCGATGTGCCTCAGCGTTCGATCGAGGAGTCGGGATGTCTGGTGCATGCGGGTCCTCCCTCAGGGGCAATCAGCGTGGACAGGAGATGAGGCAAAGTAGCAGCAAAAAAGTGGAACTCCTCCTGCCTGTCCTCAAGGACGTTCGTGCTAGGAGCACACATCAAGCCCCGACGGACGGAGACAGACAGACTCATACTCAGCAACGAGACTAGCGGCGTAGTCAGAAGACAGCGAGGAGCAAAGTCGACAAGCTCAGCAGCCAAGGCAGACGCAGCAGTGGACTCAAAGGAAGGGTCCACTGACAACAGTGGCTAGGAACGCGTGACAGTAGGACTAGCAGCATGAAGAGAAGTCAGACTCCGGGTAGCAAGAACAGGGAGAGAGGACTCTGGAGGAGACGGCAACGGGACAACGCAGAGGAGCAGTGGAAGGATGGAGTGCCATCTGGTGTGTGCCTGGGACCTTAGGAGGACGCGGACGCGGAGCACGACTACTAGTGCGAGCACTACGAACAGGCGGCGCAGGACGAGACGCGAGCTCACGACGACGCATTCAGCAAGAACCTCCAGTAGGACCAGTGTAGGGAGAAGGAGTAGGCGGGGGGAGGCAGGCTGTAACTGTGACCGCGACTGGACAGGCTGTGGACACTCTAAGTGAGGAGCAGGACCAATAGAGGGGCGGGAGACCAAGAACCTCTCAAGGGAGTCGGAACGAAGTACGGCCGCGGCCGCACAGCGCCTCCAGAACCAGCAGAGACAGCACCAGTACCCCCAAAGGTAGCACCAGTGCATGCAGTACCTCCAGCTCCAACAGCGCCAACTCCCAGCACCCTCCAAAGCACCAGCGCCAGCAGCACCACCAGTGCCAACACCCCCCAGCAGCCCCAGCCCTAACAGCTCTAGCAGCTCCAGCAGCACAACGCCAGCAGCACCTCCAGCGCCAACACGCTCAGCGGCTCCAGCTCCAGCGCTCCAGTACCACCAGCATCCTCCAGCAGTACCTCCAGTAGGACCAACTCCAACAACCTCAGTAGCACCCCCAGTCCCTGCTCCTCCAGTACCGTCAGTACGAGCACCTCCAGGACCAGCAGGAACACTAGAACCTCCAGCTCCAGCAGCACGGCTCCAACGCTGGGCAAACCACTCGCGTAGCTCCTGCGGGGAGAGTAGCTCCCGCGTCGACGAGCACCGCCACAGGCCACACGAGCAGACCCAGCACACCAAGGCTCCGTACCCCCAGGCTCAACACCCTAGGCTCCGTACCCCCAGACTCAGCACCCTTAGGCTCAGCACCCCGAGAACCCAGCACCCCCAGGCTCCGCACCCCCAGGCTCAGCACCTCCAGGACCCGGCACCCGCAGGCTCAGCACCTCTAGCAGCACTAGAGTCAACAGCTAACTCGACAGGCTTGACTGCGTCTACCTTGGACACACCTGACGGGGCAGGACCCTGAGGGGGGAGGGGGTCTACCGGGGGAGGACCTGGCGCAAGGAAGAGCGGGGGCGGGGGGAGGGTCGCAGCGCGGTAGGGGAAGAGACGGTAGTAAGGCACCGACTCGTCAAAGGTGACGTCCTGGGAGGACGAACACGGCGCGAGGTGGGGTGGTAAAACTGCCAACCAGGCGCGTCAGGGGGGGAAGCCAAGGAAGACGCGGGGAACAGCACGGGGGGACAGCTTGTCCGTAGACAAGTCGCGGACAAACGCCCGAGATCTCCAGACCCGAAACGCAGACGCATCGCCAACCTTCCTCGTCCACCGCAAGGTGGGGGAGGTGTCCGGCAAGGAGACCCGGGGCTGAAGGTTGAGCTGATGCGCTGCATACTGAACCGCAAACAGCCACAGAAAATGGGGGGCAGCTGCATGGATCATGGACGCACGAGCGACGTCCATGACCATGCCAATGCGGCGCTAAGCAATCCCATTTTGCTCTGGAGAGGCCGGAAGCATGAAGGTCTGGCGGATGCCCTGTGCACGTCAAAAGGCTCCCAGACGGGCAGAGGAACACTCCACGCCTCTATCCGAGTGCAGACGCAAAACAAGAAAGTCCGAGCCGAAACTCTATCTGAGCAGGAGACGAGCTGTGCGGATCCAGTCGATCAACACCTCAGGGACGTCACCCTTGCTGCGCAAGGGGAACACCGTGGTGTAACGCGAGTAGTCGTCAACCACCAACAGGAAGTAACGCTCGTGTCCCTGGCCACAGACGCGGGCGGGGCCCCACACGTCCATGTGAAGAGTCTGCAGCGGAGCCTCTGTTGGAGGAAACTCGGAGGAGTGAGGGGCGGCGCACTGTCGTCCCTCGACGCAGGGGGACGCAGGTAGGGGCAGGCCCCGGAGGTAGGGGAGGTAGGGACCGGGGGGAGACCAAAGACAAGGACACGTGAGGCCATGCCTCGGAGACGAGGCAGGGAGGGGTGACCAAGGCGGTGGTGCCAAAGGAGAGTCTGGTGGGACAGGAGACGACACGAGCAGGGCGCAGACTCAGGACCAGACCTGGACGCTGCAGCTAACACCTGACCTTGACGCAGCTACCTGACCAGACTCAGCAACCGGAGGAGACTCAGTATTTAGTGTGTACAGGCTCGACCCCGGCCGACGCGTAAACGTGGCCAAGTGTCGGCCCGTCCGAGCACACATGCAGTGGGTCACCCCGCTGACTCGCAGGAGTGAACTGGTCAACCCCCCTATCCTGTAGATCAGCTCCACTCACCAAGTTCGTAGAGAACGAGGGGAGGTAGAGACCTGACAGGGTGCCAGAGGGGGCTGCCGGGCACGGTAAGACAGTGGAGAAGCTAGCAAGGATAGGACCCCCAGAGGGGTCCGCCAGGGAGACCGCAACCGGCCGACTAAGCGGCGTAAGCGTGGTGCGGTCTTGAAAGAAGGAGCGGGAAGCACCCGAGTCAAGGGTGAAGGTGTGTAAGGCCTGAGCCGACGTGGTACCTGAGAGAGCAGACTCACCAGCACCTGGGGCACCACACGCACTAGCATCTAGAGCAGCAGCCTCACCAGCACCTAAAGCAGCAGCCTCAATGCCCGGGTCAGGCGGAACACACAGGTAAAAGTCACCCTCATCACTAGTAGACACAGCATACATGGCAGCAAGAATAGCATCATAATCAAGATCAAAGATTCCAACCCCCGCCCTAGACAGATCTCCCCAGCGAGGGATCTCAGTGGCGTCAGAGAACTGGTGACGCCACGCTTCCGTCAGGCGGCCGAAGCAGCGCTGGGTGGAGTGCGGGCCCCCACACTGCTCACCAGCGCGGTCGCCGGTACGGAGGACGTAGGTGCAGGGACCAGTACCCCCACCTCGCTGACGCCCAGCGTACCACTCACGAAGCTGCTGGGGGGACGGGGTCTCACGACTGCGTTGCTGCTGCTGCTGGCGCGGACCACCAACGGAGCCACTCCTCTGCGCAGAGCCGCGACCAGCTCCACCGCTGCCGGCGCCGCCTCCGCCACCTCCGCCGCCTCTGCCACCTCCACTGCCTCCGCTCCCTCCGCCACCGCCGCCGCCTCCTCCGCCTCCACCACTGCCACCGACACCTCCACCCCCGCCACCACTCCCACCACCACCCCCACCCACTCCACTACCTCCACCACCACCTCCACCGCCCCCGCCAGCCCCTCCAACGCCCTTGCCCCCCTTGCCCTTGCCGGTGTGGCGTCTCCCGCTAGAGGCAGACGCAGCGCCGACCGACTCCTAACCAACGAGGTCAGCGGCAGTAGCAAAAGCAAAAGATGGGCAAGAGGGGGAGGGGGAACACCCCTCAAAGACGGGGGTGCGAGGGTCACCACGAGAGGCTCCTACAGCATCTATGCTTTTTTCTGCTGATAGGAGGCGCTCATCGAGGAGGTCAACGGTGAGTGTTGTGGGGCAAACTGAGAGGAAGTGGTCCCTGACTAAGCGAAGGGAGTCAGGGAGCCGGGTGACTATGTAGTAGAGGGTGATGTACATGGGGGGAGGGTTCTTGGCACAAAATTCAGCAGGAAGCGTAGCGCGGTAGCGAGTGTCGCTAGTGCGAAGGTGCGTAATGAGGTCAGCGACTGTGGGAAAGGCAGCAAGGTCAGGGAACAGGTACGGCAGCATGAGGCGGCTAAGCGTAGCAGTGGCAGGGGAAGAGTAGCGTGCAACTACAGCGTCGTACAAGGTCTTAGCACTCTTGTACTGGCTTAAGTGCGCACGCTCAGTGGTCGGTAAGTGGCGACGTACAGCAAGACGGGCAGCAGCATCGCGTGTGGCCCACTGTGAGCGAACAGTGCTGTCAGCATCGGCAGGCGGGGCAGGAGAGGCACTAGAGGTGAGATCAAAAAGGGAGAGTCCGTCTGCACTATCGCACTGTAGGAAGAGCTGGAGGTCACCGACCCAGACCTCAAAGTCAACAGCACGACCTTGAGCATCAAAGGTAAGGACACTGGGGGTAGCCATGACTGCAGTGGCCTAGCAGGGAGTGATCTCACCAGTCCGAGCAAGTAGGGCCGGGGCGCGCCGGTAGGAACAGTAACGGCCCAACGGCAGGGCGGCTCGGCGGCTCGGTTGTTGGGCGGCTTGGCGGCTCGGCTGCTGGGCGGCTCGGCGGCTCGGTTGCTGGGCGGCTCGGTGGCTCGGCGGTGTCAGAATGTTATAATTATCTAGCATGTAGAGGGGTGCTCTATAGCGAGTACAACCCTGTTAGGGTTTGCGATATGTATCCCAACTGCTGCTAGTGAGATCCTCCTCTCTTCTTCATTCTCGTTTCACATGCTATCAGAGCATCTACGGTCCTGGCCTGTGGGCCCACCTAACTGCTTCCGCTGCTACTCTGTGCACTACATGCCCCGTGGCGTGCCCCTCGCGCGACCCTTAGTGCCCCGTCGCCACCCCCCGCGGCCCCGTCGCCGCCCTTCTCGGCCCCTCGCGGCCCCTTCGCGGCCCCGTTGCCGCCCCTTTCAGGCCCCTCGCGGCCCCTTCGCGGCACGTCGCCGCCCTTCCAGGCCCCTCGCGGCCCCTTCGCGGCCCCGTCGCCGCCCCCTATCGGCCCCGTCGCCGCCCCTATCGGCCCCGTCGCCGCCGCCAGCGGCCCCGTCGCCGACCTCTCAGGCCCCTCGCGGCCCCTTCGCGGCCCCGTCGCCGCCCCTATCGGCCCCGTCGCCGCCCCTAACGGCCCCGACGCCGCCCCTATCGGCCCCGTCGCCGCCCCTATCGGCCCCGTCGCCGCCGCCAGCGGCCCCGTCGCCGACCTCTCAGGCCCCTCGCGGCCCCTTCGCGGCCCCGTCGCCGCCCCTATCGGCCCCGTCGCCGCCCCTAACGGCCCTGTCGCCGCCCCTATCGGCCCCGTCGCCGCCGCCAGCGGCCCCGTCGCCAACCCTAGCGGCCCCGTCGCCGCCAGCGGCCCCGTTGCCGACCCTAGCGGCCCCGTCGCCGCCCCTAGCGGCCCCGTCGCCGCCTCCAACGGCTCCGTCGCCGCCACTTGCGGCCCCGTCGCCGCCCCTTTCGGCCCCTCCTCGACCCTGCCCCGGCCCCGCCTCGGCCATGCCCCGTCGCCAGCCGCGGCACACCGAGGGCACGTGCACCGCCCCCCCCCCCTTTTCTCGTCGCCAGCCGCGGCGCACCAGGGGCACGTGCACCGCCCTCCCTCCCCCCCCCTTTTCTCGTCGCCTGTCGCGGCTCCTTCGGGGACCTGGGGGAGGGGGGCGAGCATCGCCCCTTCTGCCGCCTGTTTTGGCGCCCTGGGAAACCGCGCGTCCCCCCCCCCCCCCCCCCCACCCCCCCCCCCCCCCCCCCATAACTTCCCTACCCGCCGTCCCGCCCTGCCCTGTGTTAGGGTCTGGGGGTGGCGAGTAGGGGGTGACGGGTGTGTGGTCTCCCCTGCTCCTCCTCCTCCTTCGTCTCCCACTACTGCAGCTATCGCTGAGGGGGGTGGATGTGTGGGAGCCTGGGGTTTAGGGTTTAAGGGGGGTGCTGTGGGAGTGGAGCTAGGGTTTTGAGGGAGGTGGATGTGTGTGAGCCTGCGGTTTAGGGTGTAAGGGGGGTGCTATGGGAGTGGAGCTAGGGTTTGAGTAGGGGGTGTGTGTCGAGAGGTGTGGGGCAGCTGGAGGAGGTTGGTTGAACGGAGGTTGTCGTCGTGTCGTCAGCAGCACCAGTAGTCCGGGGCGCTGCTCCGGTAGCCCAGTTGTAGCCAGCTGTGTCAGTCGCCCGTGGGTCCGTTGCTCGTCTGCCGCTAGTCTTAGCCGCGGAGCCAGTTACTCCAGTAGTCCGGAGCGCTATTCGGGTAGCCGCTGTGCCAGTGTGACTCCTGTTGCCCATGCGTCTGCAGCTTCAGCCGTCGCCTCCTATCTCCTCTCCTCTTACAGTCTCGCCTCCTCCTCCTCACTTGCCCTTTGTGAATGACTCTAGCTTTGCTCGCTATTGTGAACTCCTGCTCTATGCCTGCTTGCTCATTGTGCTGATTACACCCCACTTTGGCTATGGGGGTGTGTCAGAATGTTATAATTATCTAGCCTGTAGTGGGGTGCTCTATAGCGAGTACAACCCTGCTAGGGTTTGCTATATGTATCCCAACTGCTGCTAGTGAGATCCTCCTCTCTTCTTCATTTCTCGTTTCTTCACAGGCGGCTCAGCTGCTGGGCGGCTGGGCAGCTCGGTGGCTTGGTGGCTCTGTTGCTCAGCTGCTGGGCGGCTCAGCGGTGAAGGGGCCGGTAGAGGCGGCGACGGGGCCGGTAGAGGCAGCCATGGGGCCGCTATGGGAGGCGACGGGGCCGCTAAGGGCGGAGAGGTGGCCGCGAAGGGCGTCGACGGGGCCTCCACGGGTGGCGACGGGGCCGCTAGGGGCGGCGACGGGGCCGCAGAGGGGGCGCAAGGGGCCTAGAGGGGCGGCGACGAGGCCGCAAAGGGGCCGTAAGGGGCCTAGAGGGGGCGGTGACAGGGCCGCAAGTGGCGGCGATGGGACCGCGAAGGGGCCGCGAGGGGCCTAGAGGGGCGGCGACGGGGCCGCTAGGGGCGGCGACGGGGCCGCGAAGGGGCCGCGAGGGGCCTAGAGGGGTTGCGACGGGGCCTAGAACGGCGGCGACGGGGCCGTGAAGGGGCCGCAAGGGGCCTAGAGGGGCGGCGACGGGGCCTAGAGCGGCGGCGACGGGGCCGTGAAGCCTTTAGGAGGGCGCGACGTGAGGGCGGCCTACGGGGCGCGCCTCAGGCAGGAAAAAAGATCGAGTTAGGTGGTGGGCCCTGAGAAGCGTTCCCACGAGGAAACCTGCTCTATACCATGTGAAGAATGAGGAATGGATGAACTAGGAAAGAGGTGGGTACAAGTAGGAAAACCTAGAAATGTTGTACCCCATATAGTCCACCCCACTACAGCCTACACAGACTATAGCATATAAGTTTGACACAGCGGACCTCTGACACCCCCCCGCACTGGGATGCCCAAAGTGCACACACTGGGATTCGAACCTAAGACCTTTGCTTTGATACCATGTCAGAATCCCAGCCAGGCCACTGGGATAAAAAGGCTTGTTAAGTAGTGGGTCAGTGCGCCCAAAACCCCCCAAGCCAACATGCAGGGTCCTCGCTAGTGACAGAACCCGCCTGACGCATCAGACAATTTAGTTAGGGCCCGCCTTTTGCATCAGATATTAGAATTTGTCCTAACTTATAAGTCAGAATTTTTTTAAAGGCCTACTCTATGTTTACCAACAAGATTCTAGAAACCATTCTACATTAGTCGGGTCAGATTCTAAGCTACCTACACTATGAGTCTCTGAAGCACCATCACTTACCTACTCAATGTCAGAATCACTGGTGAGGGTTAGTGTTGCACGGACATCCAGGCCATCATCTTCACGATCACTTTCTGGAACCTTGTCCCTCTTGCGACGCTTCTTAATAGCAGGGTATGACTTCTCGGCTGCCTCTGCCTCTAGTGCCACGTCATCTGATTTTGTGGCCAGCCCCTTGCGCTTGTTGCCCTTCTTAGCCACACCAGTGACTTCCTTTGCAGGGCGCCGCTGCCTTGCACCACGCCACAGCTTAACTACATCGTCCCAGTCTGGCTCGTACTGCAGGAGAGAGATACACATGAGATCAGCAAGTCTGGCATCGCACAGGTTGCCACAAAGCCAGAACTTGACGTTTTGGCGACTGAAACCACGCTCTTACTCCACTGTGCTGAGCGGTATCACAGAGACGGCCATCCACAAGCGGACGAGGCTCGGGTACGTGTGAGAATTGAGGAATGAAGAAGAGGGAGGGTTCACTAGCAAACATTGGGATACATATGGCAAACCCTAAAAGGGTTGTACTCACTATAGAGTACCCCACTGCAAACTAGAGAAACATAATATTCTGACACACCCCCATAGTCAAAGTGGGGTGTAATCAGCACAACAAGCAAAGCAGAACAAGCTAAGGGTGGATCACAATGTTACCACACATTCTGAGCACAAGTACTAGAAGCAACAGTTTAAAGTTCACAAATGTAAGAAAAGCTAGAGGCTATCGCAGAGGGCAAGTGTGGAGGAGGAGGGACTATGAGAGGAGAGGAGGTAGTGGGCGGCAGCTGAAGGTGCTGGCACATGGGCGGCAGCTGAAGGTGCTGGCACACGGCGCAACTGGAGCAACTAGCACATGGGCAACTGGAGCAACTGGCACACTGGCAACTAGAGCAACTGGCACACGTGCTACTGGAGTAACTGGCTCCGCGGCTAAAAGTAGCGGCAGACGAGCAACGGACTCACGGGCGACTGGAGCAACGGGCTCACGGGCGACTGGCGGAACGGGCTCACGGGCGACTAGCACAACGGTCTCACGGGCGACTGGGGCTGCGGGCTTCACAGCGGCCACCCCCTTTCAACCTCCCTAAACTATCCCACCCCCATTTCACACACCTCCTACTGCACCCCTAGGTTCACTCACACCCCACCCCCTAGCACCACTCCGTCGACTCCCACACACCCACCCCCCTCAGCGGCAGCTGCAGCAGTGGGAGACAGAGGAGGAGGAGGAGTAGGGGAGACCACACACCCGCCACCCCCTACTCGCCACCCCCCAAACCCTAACAGAGGGCAGGACGGGATGGCGGGTAGGGAGGTTACGGGGGGGGAAGGGGGTGGGGGGGGGGGCGACGCGCGACCTCCCAGGGCGCCAAAGCAGGCGGCAGAAGGGGCGACGCTCGCCCCCCCCCCCCCCCCAGGTGGCCCCCGAAGGAGCCGCGACGGGCGACGGGAAAAGGGGGGGGGGGGCGGTGCACGTGCCCCCGGTGCGCCGCGGCTGGCGACAGAGCATGGCCGGGGCGGGGCCGGGGCCGCAAGTGGCAGCGTCGGGGCCGCTGGAGGCGGCAACGGGGCCGATAGGGGCGGCAATGTGGCCGTAAGTGGCGGGGACGGGGCCGATAGGGGCGGCGACGGGGCCGCTAGGGTCGGCGACGGGGCCGCTGGCGGCGACGGGGCCGATAGGGTCGGTGACGGGGCCGCTGGCGGCGACGGGGCCGATAGGGTCGGCGACGGGGGCCGCTGGCGGCGGCGACGGGGCCGCTGGCGGCGGCGACGGGGCCGCTGGCGGCGGCGACGGGGCCGATAGGAGCGACGACGGGGCCGCTAGGGTCGGCGACGGGGCCACTGGCGGCGTCGACGGGGCCGATAGGGGCGGCGACGGGGCCGCGAAGGGGCCGCGAGGGGCCTGGAAGGGCGGCGACGGGCCGCGAAAGGGGCGGCGACAGGGCCGCGAAGGGGCCGCGAGGGGCCTAGAAGGGCGGCAACGGGGCCGCGAAGGGGCCGCGAGGGGCCTGGAAGGGCGACAACGAGGCCGCTAAGAGTAGCGCGAGGGGCACGCCACGGGGCGTGCCGAACTCAGAGTAGCAGCGGAAGCAGTTAGGTGGGCCCACAGGCCAGGAGCGTAGATGCTCTGATAGCATGTGAGAATTGAGGAATGAAGAAGAGGGAGGGTTCACTAGCAAACATTGGGATACATATGGCAAACCCTAAAAGGGTTGTACTCACTATAGAGTACCCCCCTGCAGACTAGAGAAACATGATATTCTGACAGTACGACGTCTCCCAGTCACTGCTTCGTAGCATGTTCTTGAGGCCTGCGTGGAAACTCTGATCCTTGTATTGGGCGTACATCATCCATGTGAAGCGCGGCAGTTCCCGTTCGGCCTTCTTCCAGCTGACACCTAGCAGGCATAATGAAACGAAACAAGCAGTCAGTGCTCAGAGTGGTCAACGATGTACACATCCACAGTTACAAATCAACACGTAGAGAGCTTGGCGGCAATGCGGATGCGTACCAGGCAAAGCACAGTTATCGCCATTGAAGAGCGTGCGAAGGGAACGGAACCACTCCCTAGTGACGCGATCACGCTTTGCAGCACCATCTGGATAGGCGTCAGGCAGAAAGAGCTTAGAACCAATCAAGGTCGCCAAGCTCTTAAACCGGAACTTGAGGCGGCCAACCACTTCCTTCGCAAATTTGGTGGCAAGTCGCACACACGATTCCAAACCCGGTGGTGATTTCACGCATAGGATTGGCAGCTCGTGCAACAAGAAGGTGTGAGTGACGGCGTTGCCTTTGCTGTCCATCCCCTCCAGTTTGACTTCACGGCGGGAGGGATGCGTGCGTTTTTCATGGAACGCAGTGAGATGGTCGTTGTCCTCTGCAAAGTTGACACCGTACTCCACGTAGCGCGCCGTCAGCTTCGCGCATGTGTTCTCCACCATCCCTGACACTCGAATGATGTCCACCTGAAACAAGTTGAAGTACTTGATGTTAGCACAACCGATTGTACGGGTCCAAGAAAGATCGCTTGACAAATATACAATTACCAGAACTCACTGCGCGCCTCTGAAATTTTATGTT